TAGAGATAAGGCCCGTATAAAATTTCTCCTCCGGGTCACTGACCCGTATTACAAAACTAAAACCGGGTAACTAACCGGGTAATAAAAAAGTGACCTGCTTACTCGGCTTACCCGGCTTACCCGTTAAGTTATGCAAAATAATTTGCGCCCAATGATTATATAAATGCACAACAGCCAAACATATTGTAAGTAATGCTGAACTTTCTGTAATCGGATTTAGAATCTTGCAAACTGGATATCGTATGGGCCAATTTTTTTGATTTGGTGATTATTAATAAATTTAATCTAATAATTTAAGATCATTAAGTGATATTATGTAATTGCCGGAAGTAAAATATAAAAATATAATAAAATTGAATTGTATGATCTGAATTTGATTGGTTAATTGCTTTCCTTAGCTTTGTTTCATTATATATTGCTTATGAAACCTTTATAAAACCGCTTATAAGTTGCATTGATTTTTCTACTGATTTTAATTATTGATTGTTTTATTATGCTTATGAATCCGCTTATAATTTTTATAATCACCAAATTCTCATCAAAAATCCTAGCACGTACGTACGTACGTATTATGACTCTATTTGCCATGTGATCCAATTTTTCTTGATTTTGAATTAGCCAATTATATGAAGGCTTTATTTTTTTATTTTTATTTTATCCGGGTTATTCGGTTAGCATGACCATGACCCGGTTAAGTGATGCTTATGTGAGTTACCCGGGTAAGTCTTATCCGGGCTCAATCTCTAAATAGAAGTTCACTATAATATATTATATAAATATAATATTGTAGAATTTTGCATTATAATCTTCATGACTCTAAATTGAGAAAGTTTCTTATATGGAACATATCGACGTTAGTTTATTAAATTATCGATATAACCAGAGGCATGATGATACGAGTGAAGAAATTCAGAAGAGTCATTATAAATTATGCTAAACATGTTGTTATGATTTAAGATCTTGTAATGCATAGTAAAGTTAAGCCTTTATACAAATTAATAACACTGTAAGATCGTATAAAGCTGTGCACAATTTGGGCCGGGGCTTGCGTGATAACACGAAGCCTTTGGTTGAACAAAAGATTAAATCTAGAATCTTTAGATAACGATATAACGAATGACGAACGACATATATGATGAAACAGCAAGTGATAGCAAAAAATGGCAAAAGATGGCTAAATATATAGCACTTGATAAATGAAAGATGAAAGGCGAAAAAGCCAAGCCTCTTTTAGCATACAACGCAACCCAAATATATAGTCATATGACAAAGCTATATCCAGACATTTCACTCTAAATGGCTAATCAACCATTCAACTTGCAAGATCTGTATATGTGTTTTTATCAGTAGTACCATCTTTTTTCAATATTCGTAAATTGATTAATTAAAATTTTTAATGTAATTGGTGTATAAAGGATTGAAGTTGCTCCTTCAACTTTTTTGACTAATTTTTTTGCCAAATCATATCCTTCATTATTCGGAAATACTATAAATATTATTAATAAATTCTTGCTATTAATTTCTAATCTTAACTCTAATGATGCCTTTTCATAATTATTTTCATAAAGGCTAATAAATACTATATTATAAGCAAGTTGATTATGCAATTCTTCATATCTTTTTGCTGTTCTAGTACCTTCATCAAAGGTATCGAATACATCAACTTTTTAATCATTTCAGCATTGCATTTCTCACATCTTCAACCGGGTGAATTATCAGTATTCTATTTTGTCTTATGGAACCGCTTATTAACTCATCGTATTGAGTCTCTAATAACGAGTTACTTATTGATAATGTCTCAAGAATCCACGTAAACAAAAAAGTTATTTCCTTTTTCCAATTTGCTTTCTACATTAATTTCTCATCCGTTAAGTTCTACAAGACTTTTACAAATTAAGAGGCCAAGTCCTGTATCATCTTGGTTTTTAATTTCTGACATGCCACCTTGCGAAAAACTTTTCCATATATATTCCGAATCAGTACTATAATTTAATGAATTATAGATTATATATTTGAAATTACTATAAAATATGAAAACACATTAACATAAATGGCTTACCCCCATGCCAGCATCATATAATTCAATCAATAGATTTTCTTTTTGACCTCCTATTATTTCATCATTAACTTATGATTGCATAGAAAGTGTTAATATAATTTTACCATAATCAGTAAATTTAACTCCAAAAAAAATAAATATAAATTATTTTATTATTTTTAATAGGCTATGAAAGAAAACTCAATAAATAAATGAAATAATAATTACGAATTAAATAATAAACTCGATAAAACTTGTTTTAAGTCTACATTATAAGAGATAATACTGTAATATAAGTAATAAAATTTTGTATTCTTTGATAAAATATATTGGCAGTTAGTTCAAATCACCTTTCAGGGTCACTCTTAATATATCTTGGCAAAGTATCTATTTCACAATTCATAATTAGCTCAATATTTTTATCTCCAGCTTGTTATCCAAATTCTTCAATAGTATTCTCAAATAATTCTAATAAATCAAATTTTCTATTTATTAGAGTGACTTTTTGTGCTTCTAATTTTGCTGTATTAACAATTTCATTTGCAATAGATATCACTATATCAAATGTGCGTGTCATGATATCAATTATGTCGCTTTGATTAGCTGTAACGGTGGACCTATCAAAAGAAAAAAGGATACCCACCATTGTATTTAATGAAGTTCGTAATTCTATGTTAAAAATGAGATTAATTATCAAAATTAAAAAATTTAGTAGTGTACGTGAAGAATAATAATATACTGTACCATGAGAAGTATTGGCTAATATTTGATTTTTAGTAAGTTTTGCAACTTCAGCAGCTTTTATTTGAATTTCTTTTTCGGAATTTTCTTCTAATAATGTTGTGTAAGTAATAGCTAAACTTATTTGATCCGATATTTGTTGGAATAATTCTATTTCAGAATCAAGCCAAATAGAATTTGGAGACCTATGCACTTTAATACATCCCCAAAAGCCATTATTCATTATTTTTGCTAATAATACTGATACATTTTTATGAGCAACGTAACAATATCATCCAAGGAAATATCTATTCCCGAGTTATTATTTAAATATTCTTGTAATTTAGAGAATGTTTGAGATTTATTCCTATTGTTAACCGGTGAAGCCACGTGCTACGGTAATTCCGAATAAGGGTAAACCGGGCTACATCGGCTACGTAGGCCATTTAGGCTACGTAGAGTACTTAGGTTACGTAGGCCATTTAGGCTACGTAGAGTACTAGGGTTACGTAGGCCATTTAGGCTACGTAGGGTACTAGGGTTACGTAGGCCATTTAGGCTACGTAGGGTACTAGGGTTACGTAGGCCATTTAGGCTACGTAGGTTACTTAGGACACTTGGTACACTAGAGCCACAATGTCGACTTATTAAATAGAGTAATATATCAAATGTAAATAATGAGTTTTATTATAAATAAAGGCTGTAAAGGCCCTAGAGGAAAGATACCTCCTAATTCTGCTTTATTAAAATAATCGCTTAACTCCTAATATATAATAATTGTTCATCAATAAATAATAAATTCGTTAAACTACCTAACTCCAGTTTGTTACTAAGTGGCATAGTGATAAACTTTGTCTCTCTCTCTAAATCCTGTTCATGTGACCCTTGCTATATTTGATACCCCATCCAGTTGTTAACCTAACGTACCTGGTACAACTGTGGTTGATTTGTCTAGCTTACCTGAAGTAGTGTGGTATAGCTGAGGTTAAAGAAAGACTAGAAATTACTCAGATAAATAAAGGCCTACCTACGGAACCAACCAACTCACCAAACCTAACATGCCTCTTTCCAGTAAAGCCTACTATAGGTAATACAAAGTATTTAGATTATCAAGTGACTGACTCGCTGCTGTTACCTGGTTTTATTTGGTAGTGTTTATGAGATCGAATATCTTAAAATATCATAAACCCCTCCTCTCCCCTCCTGATGTGAAAAAGGCAAAGAATAAAAGATTAGTAAAACTTGAAAGAAAATACTTAGAATTTAAAAGCACAACTACAAGTCAACTCTTAAAAAAAGTTTGAAAGTGAAAAACAGAAAATAACTAGAAGATAATAAAATAGACATATAATGAAAAGTAAATTAGAATAAGGTTGAAAAGAAATACTGCAAACAATAATTGAACAACATGAATACTATACTTATTGGAAATAAGAAGACTGTAACACTTGAATGCTAAAAATAGTATCTGTGTATCTTAAGGACTTAGTTGCAAACTGGTACAAAAGAAATAAGAAAGATTTAGAAGAATAGAAGAACAAAGAAAACAAACTAAAAAGTTTCTATCATGCTTTTATCAAATTCTTCGCTACTTTAAAAAAGTATCATATATAGCAGAAAGAACTGAATAGTTTCCAACAGAAAAAGAATGAAAAAGTTAATATATACAATGTTAAATTTAAAAGACTGTTAGGAAGAGTAGACTCTAAAGATAGCTTATTTGATGAATTCGTAATTAGAATATTTCTCAGTAGGCTAAGAGAAAAAATTGTGACTTTCATTATAGTATCAGAATCTAAAAATCTAGAAGAAGCTATTGTTAGCACTAGAAGGATAGAAGTAAAGAAGTATTATAGTAGACAAACTCCTGAAAAAACCTAGCAAAAGAAACTTGAAGAAGAATTTGATAACCTATTGCAAAAGATCGAACAAATAGCTCTAAACTTCATTACTATAAATTAAAGCTAGATAAAAAAACTCTATAACTACAAAAGATACTATAGTAACTTCTGAGAAGATAACAATTAAAAAAATATCTAAGAAGAAACCTTTCAAAGAGAACCTACAAGAGAACTAAGAAAAGAAATAACTTGTTACAACTGTAGTGAAATAGGTCATATCATCTAGTATTACCTGTTTAAAAAGATACCTAGAAGAAACAAAGAAAATAAAAGAGTTAGTAATTATGTAAAAAAAGATAACCAAGACAATGATGATAACCTATAGATAGAACTAGATGAAGTTTATATACTGAATAAATAGCAAAGACACTACCTTTATAAAAGAAACAATAACCCTAAGAACAACTAAAATCGAAGTAGGAAAGCAGATTAAGAAATAAAAATATACTATCTGAACTCTAGTTAATACTACTAGAAGAGGATTAAAAGGCAATAGATGAAGATATGTTCATTACAGAAAAATAACTAAAAAGAAAAAGAAAGCTATCAGTTATAGTCAAACTTACTTTATATAATATTGCTGAAGATATTTTAAACTCCTTAGCTAATGTAACTATAGAGCAGATGCTCTAATATCCTAATCAAAGACAAAATTTAACTAAGATACTAAGAAGATCACTACCTCTAATACAAAAAGCTAGCTATATAATATTTGAGGAACCAAAGTATACTATGGCTACCAGGTATTATATTAGAATCAAAAAAAATTTCATAGTAGCTGTATTAGACTCTAATATAGCTGTTAACATCATGACAAAGAAATTAGTAGATAAACTAAGATTAAAAATACTAGAAAAATAATCTATTGGAGTCTGGCACCCATAGCTTAGTGGTTAAGCTACTAACCCTTCATAGACAAGGTCAATAGTTCAAGACTAACTGGAGGCGAAAAATACTCTATAACCTTATTTAAAGAGTCAATAGTTAAATGTGAAGCCCCGTAAGAAGTTCAAGTAAAATACAACATTTAGAATAGGAATTATTAGAAGTGGCTCTATCTTGTAGAGAGGTAGCACAATATGTAATAGTCAGTATCACAGAAGTTAGTTATATAATAGTGCAAAAAAGTAAGTCTATATTGGCAAGAGTATGGCAGAAACCAATATCATTACATGGTATAATAGAATTGCTTAGAAGGTTACACAATAACTAATTGAGTAGTGAGAGAAGTAAGAATTATATAAGATATGATTAAGTAATAAGATATTAGCCTTACTGAATATAGAACACTTCTGGCAAATACAAAAACTTAAAAAGGTAGGTTTCTGCTGCAAAGTAGCTAGTTTATAGGCTAAGAACATATAATAATCTGAAATGGCTAGAAGCACCAGGCTGGTAGTAGCAATATGACAAAGTATATAAGGACATACTAACATTAAACACCAATCTCTTCTGAAGAAAGCTGGAAGTAATACTATATATTACAAACCTAATTGGGAGTAATTTTTGGATTATGAAATATAGCCTGTACTTACCAATATACAGGAGTTCTCAAAAAGGTGTATAAACATAGCATGTAAACACAACTCAATGTAATATAAATGCTTTTATGTCTTAGCATTGTGTAAATGCTGATAACAGACACCTTTAAGCCAGAATACCTATTTAGAAAGTGACTATGAGGATCACAATGCTGAAATATCTGTAATAGATGACTACCTATTGGAAAGTAGCTTTGTGTAAATATGAGAGATACAGGGAATGTAATAAAAACCTTAAACAGATAAGTCATAGTGTAACAAAACCTAGGATAATATAAATACAGGTTATAAAGTCTTAGTTAAGTATATCTAGAGGATAAATTAGTCCTAAGGCTGCATATCTAGTTAAATACATTGTAATCATTACTTGTAATTAATTATAATAAATTTAATAAAAATATATAGCCAAAGAGGTCACTTGTAAAAAAAAATAAAAAAAATAAAAAAAAATAATAATCTACTATTATAGTAATAACCACAGAAGCAAAAACAAAAGTACTAGACAACTCTTCCTGTCAATTATCAACACCAATATCGGAGCAAACAAAAATTTTGTTTTTACCTTAGAAGTCTAGTAGTATCTCTAATACTTACCTAGTAGACTATATATTTTGACTGGCATGAGTGTAGAAGTCTAGTCATAAGTAGCACAAGTCCAGTTGTAAGAGGCTCTCTCTTAGTAAAGCGTGTATATAGAAACTTGTATATATGTGTGAAGTATTGTCTATGAGTTAAAACAAAATAAGAAGAAGAAAGAAGCCGTAAAAGTAAGGTATGAAACTCCAACTATAATACTAGAACTGGGTCTAGTATATTTCCCTCTTTAAAGTTCCTTTTGGTGTTGTTTCTTTCTTCTTCGGATCCTTTAGATTTTCTTCTATTGAAAAATAATAAAAAGTAGGGGATTTGGTGAACCCCTGACAAAGAATTGACAAGTCTGTACCACTTTCTAATTTGGCAAGTCATCTGTTGATATGCAACTTAGACAAGACAATAAACACATACATCACTATCACATAGATGATCTAATCAGGATTTAATATTCAGACAAGTTATTTTGAATACTAGAGATATGTATTCTTGTTTTTGCATAGAATAATATTTTTACTTTTTGTTTCTTTTTTTTTCTTTTTGTTAAGAAGAGAAACTCTCCTTTTTTTCTTTTCTTTTTATTACTATCTCACTTACAAGAG